ATTTCTTTTTTAAAAAAAAATCGTTTGCCCAGCCTAACAGTATTGTTGTTATTGTTTTTATCCTGCAAAGCGCTTTGAGGAGCCAGCTTTAAAGGCGCCATATACAATAAAGTTCATTATTATTACTATTGTTAATTTGCTGGATAGAGAGGTGAACATTATTGCGCAGAAGACAAAGATAGCGATTTACGTTGCATTGTGCATTGTGCTGCTGTAATACAGTTTTAGATAATTAAAAGTCTAAACAGTATCAGCTTTATTTATGGGTTTTAAATAAAGGCGATTTAAACGCGATTTAAATCAATATAAATGTTTATATTGTAACGCCTAGGTGACTATTCATTGTTATTAAAATGACTTAAATTCGATCATGTTGTGATATTTAGAATTATAAATTTGTTTGGTGCGAGTGAAGGTTTATTTAATCTTTGAGCCAGGGAAACGTTTTATTTTTTCAGAGAAATGTTTGTTAAAAAAAGTCATGTGGGAGTCATGAACCTAACCCACAGCGCCACCGGTGAGGTCACATGAGGACTGTTGAAAAAGCGCTACAAAACATTATGTAACAATTCTTGTGTTGCGGTACATGAGTATAATTATATCGTTATTAATTTCTTTAGATACGCGATTCCATATTATATTCCCTTTTAATCAAATTCTAAAAGTATGCTTGTTGACTCCGGTATCACGTTAAAGACTTCGATGCTTAAAATGTTTAGGGAGAAATGGAATACTGGTGTGTATGTTTTCTTTAAAGTACCGAGACCAGCCATATACTGTATGTTTATGTTCCAAAATTAATGGGTGCCCCTGTCGGTCAACCAATCACGTACCGCGGTATTTTGCATCGTGACACGCGAGGCCGTAGCCAATTACCTCCGGTACGTGTCTGTGCCGCGCACTTTGAATGGCTGCATCTGTAGATTAAGGCCTAACGAGTCAATTAATTTCTGAGACCTTACAAAAAAATAACACTAGTGCACATGCCACATTTACTGTTTTATTTTTTTCAATCTGTTAAATGTAGCAAATAAATAGTAACTGCATTAAAATTTGCAGAAATATGTCAAGTTTAAGTTTGTTCGCTGCAGAGGCTGTGTTAACTTCTTTTCACTTAGAAAATATACAAAACATGTAATTTGGCCTGGGGTGCCCAAACATTTGCATACAACTGTATGATTTCTTTCTATATAGTGGATTTGAAGTTTTTTATAACTTGGTAGCATGAAAATTGCCTCTGCAAATCAGTGTAGACAAAAAAGAAATTTGAAGATAAACATAAGGGTTTAGATTTTTGCACTTTCAAAAGCCCTGCTTGACTATAACTTGTTTCATCTTGACTGTACTGACAGCTACAAGTGACTGTGTACAAGTGACAGTTCACAGTTACAATTGTAACCGAATTCCTTCAATACCTATCCTCCGTTATCCCAAATCCAAGAAACAGGAATGGCAGTTCCACTTTTCGACAGAACCATTAGGATGGTAGCTATTATCTTCTCGGTGTGTTAACACATTATTCACTAGGAATGACAACAGGAATTAGGTGTATTAAAAGATTAATTGAGTATTTTAAGTTACAATAATTTGGTTTAACCAGCTTGGCTGAGGGCTGACCTCCTGGCCTGAAGATGAGGAGGCTGGAACCCCCCTGCTAAGAGAAGAGTGACCAAGTGGCAGACACAGGTGGAGATGGGATATAAAAGATTAATGTGAGGGAGAGAAGGGAGTTAGTAATTAATTATGTTTAACTGAAGAAAGGACATCATTAATATTGACAAATTACTGACAGCTGAGAATGACTGAACTTGGCTGTTGTCATCCCTCCCAAACCCTTGTTACAAACTCCATTTAGAAAAATCCCTAGGATGATTCCTACAAACCCTGCTGGCCACACACCCTGCTCACTCATTCTGATCTATCTAAATTTTACTCTGTCTGCTGTCCCAGGATAGCAGAAGCTCTGAATCAAAGTATATCTTGCACAGACTGGAAAGACTTCTTTAAAAAGGTGCAAAGGCAAGTTTTTGCCTTTGTTCTAGCAATGGGCCAAAGGGGAGAGACACTACAGCTGTATTATACTGTATATACAGTACAGTCAAAGCTGGAGACTCAGAATGATCAAAACACAGTGTAAACAATTGGAACGAGGAGTATGGAGGCAGATGGTAGAAGCACTTCAGACTCTCCATATTAAAAAAGGAATTGTGTGCAAACAGGGGCACGTGCAGGAATTTAGAAAGTAAAGTGCCATTTTCAATCAGAGCTGTGATCAGAACTAAGGAGTTATGGAGAGGTGGCTTTCCCAGGGTGGTGCCTCCCAAGTGCTGTATTGATCACTGCAGGCAGTAAATTCGCTCTGTTGTCAGTTGTTATTCCTCAGTGTTCCCAGGAGCCAGAATACCACCAAGGATTGACTGTCGCAGTAATAAGCCTTTTCAATTAGGCTGGCTGGCCTGCATTAGCAGAGGCAGTAAATTAAACCATTGTCTGATCTGTGTAAGTGTCATCTGCTCCTTCGCGAAAGACCATGTTGATCTGACAGGATTTAGCTCTCCAAATGCTCTTGCTGTTGCTCCCAGGACAGGTGAAGTTTTTAAGATCAGTCTCCATTTTAGCTGCTAATATAGATTGTGTAGTAGGGTATTCTAGTACTGTCTTTGATTCAAGAAGTTAGAGGTGCTTGAACCTCCTTGGGATTCAGAATGAGCCCTGCTGTAAATTCAGAAATGAACATGAGGGGGCAGATCTAATAATAATAATAATAATAAAAATAATAATAAACTTTGTTTTTATTATTTACAGAATGACAACAACAATAAAAAAATACACAAGATATGCACAATGAGAGGAGACAGTAGACAGGGGTATTGAATACAGTAGGAGCAGAGGGGTAAAGAATGGAACCAGTTAAGTACAGGCTCTTCTAAAGAAGGTTTTGAGTCCAGATTTGAAGGAGTTTAGAGAAGGTGACTCTCTGATATCTTTGGGGAGAGAGTTCCAGAGTTTTGGGGCGCAGCAGGAGAAGGTCCTGTCACCCATAGAGTGTAAACGGGCTTGAGGGACATATAGGAGACCAGAATTAGAAGAGCGAAGGTTGTGAGGTTGGGAGTAGGGTGATAATAGTTCACACAGGTACTGAGGTGCCAAGCCATGCAGAGCCTTATAGGTGAGCATGAGGAATTTGAAGTCCATACAAAATTTGACAGGAAACCAGTGCAAGGACTCCATGATAGGAGTAATGTGCTCACTTTCACTCCACCTGGTCAGGATTCTGGCTGCCAAATTAACATCAAATGTAGTCTAGCGATAATTCTGAGGTGAAAGAAAGATGTTTTGACAATATGTTGCACATCAAATATCACCCCCAGGTTTTTCCATTTAGACTGAAGTTCAAATACAGTGCCATCCACAGAAAGGGTTACAGCACTGGCTTTACAAAGCCAATTGTATAACAACTCAGGGTTTCAAATTTAGCCTGTGCAAAAGATCATGAAACACAGCTACCACAGCTAAATGGTTTGAGAAATGTAACCATCATTAAATCTGAGATAAAACAACTCCTCTGTTTTTGGACTCCTTTAAATTGCAGTTTTTCCTATTGTTACCCCATGAAATGAAAAGACTTACGAATCTGGCTGAGTAAACATATTTTTCTGTGTTATTTCACGTGTTACCGAGCCAGGGATACCTGTGGTATGTTCAAAGTCTACTGATGAATAAGCATTGCATACTGTATACAAAGGCAGTTTGATCACTTTAAAGAAAATAAATGCCTGAGTTTAAACACTCCAGTGTTTAGGCGTCAGTTGCCAACATTGTTTACGCTTCCAGTACACAGTGACATTTTAAATGATTATCTTATCATATTAACCTAGTCAATTGACCTGCATTGCAAATTGGGATTTAGAAATTATGTAACTTCACTTGCCTTGCCTTTTCCTTTAATAAATATTTGTTTTTAAAAGTAAAATATTAAGTTCTTTAAAAATCTAAATTTCTCAGTTTTTATCTGATATTTTATTCTACTTGGGTGCATGCCAAGGAAGGTAAAGGTTTAAAGCATCTTGTACAATTCTGGTTTTGTCATCCATACAGTATGTCACACATCTGTTGTATGCATATGAGCAAGGCAATCCAGTGTCCTTCCTGTAAAAGCCCATAGAAGGAAATATTGTGAAACACTTAACAACATTTTTAGAAGGCTTTCATATGGTTGTATCTTCATTCCACGATGTGTCCCCTGCAGGCCCTGATTTAGATGTTCAATAAAAAATAAATCTGGATACCACAGGAGCACAACTGTTGTAGGAATACTAGGCAATTCCAATATACAATGTCTCTGCAATGTCTTAACATGGTGTGCAGTATTATAATCATTTGACACCCTAGCTCAGGCGTCGCAGACCTGTAACTCAAAATCATTCCATGGTGACCCCAAAGTAGTTTGTGCATAACTGCACAGAAGTGTGAAAACCGGCCACTCAATCATAAAGCAAAGATGCCGTAGAAAAAAATCACTTCTGCTCAGTGTTAGGTTTTGGTGCTGTAAGATCACCCGTGGGAGGGTCACCAACAACAGATATTTCCGAAACGATATTCTTAAAATACTTGACATATACCTGGGCAAGATGGCCACAAGGAAAAGTCCCCTGACTCGTTTACAGAAACACACACAAGAGCAAGTGTGTAGTTCGGCTGTAGTATGGGTGTAGTATAAGTATGGGTTGAATTTTCCGCATTTGCAATACGTTTTGACTACAATGCACGCATTTAGGGTGCTACTGTGCAAACGTTTTTGTCAAGGAGTTGTCACAAGCTGCGAACTGTACAGGTGGTGGCCTCTGCACGTTTCCACCTTTGTCATGGTGATGGCTGCCCCTAGTGGATTTCTATAAATACTCGTTTGAGAGCATGCCCAGTGTAAACGGGCCCGTTTTGCTCAGTAGAGAGGCGGGTTGGACTCACTCTCAATGGCCCTTGTCTATGTCTCACCTCAGATCTTGAAGAGGGGTTGTCATGTCAATGACAGAGATGGGCTGACAGATATGACCCTGCTGCACTACACCTGCAAAGCTGGAGCTCATGGAGTAGGTAAGTGGCAGAGAGAGGGAAAAGGAAAATCTACCACTTGCCTTCTGTTGACGTATAGCATTAATTTTTATCCTTTATACATTAAGGGAAAATATTTATTAGCATGTGTAAAATTCTGTATGATATAGTATTATCATTGGTATCAAATATATCACAAATGTCTAGTTAGACAAGGATGGAAATAAAATCACAGTGAGTGTGCTTTCATCAGTAAATCATTAACTGCCCTGATATGGACAGTCTCCATGAAGTCGTAAATCTATAGCCAGGCTGAAAAGTTCTATCATGTTTGTAATCAGGTGAATAACTTTGTAGTTGAAAGCCACTGATCCAAGATCCAGGAATGAGAAAGGGGCCTACAATTTTATGGTATGTATCTTTAAGAAAGAAATAATTTAATAAGGAATAATGAGGGCGGAAAGGTAAACATTTGGAGTTACTGGGAAGTGAAGAACATGATATAAGATAGAAAGTGGGGTCTAAAGGGCACCAGGCATGTTTACTCTCTAAGACAATCTTTGCAAATTTCACATGCATCCTTAATGTACAGGTACATGGACAGGGTGGAAGAGACCAAAGAAACCTGATAAGAATAAAGACTATACTGGAAAGGCACAGTGCTGAGAGTCAATGTGAGCATTAAGATTCTCAAAACCCAAATTCACCCTCCATTTTGAAACCACGAAAAAAGCAAGGAAAGAGAACTAATTCAAAAGACATTATCCTACTGCCGGTGTCCAATGTAAAAGTATGTCTTCTAGTGGCTTTAAGAAGTTTAAAAGCTAGATACTGTATTCAGATGACTTGACATCAGTAACAAGCAGGGATTTAAGACAGTACTGACAGGGTACACAAGTCATTCTGCCACCCTGAGAATGACTATGCCACAGATTAACTGAAGCATGAGTCACTGATTTCCTTAAAAGTGCATTTTTGAACAGTTTAAGCACTATATTTTTATTTTGTGGCTTTAAAAAACATATCTTGGTCACAGTCCATCTAAGCGACACAAACCAGGTTTGAACCCATGACATACGATCATGGAGTTGCACCTAACATCAGCAATTCCTCATGCTGTCTGTAGCAGAGCTGGCGTTGAATACCGTGCTGATGCAGCTCTCTCTGATGGCCAAGCCAGAAATCAGTGGTTGGTTCAGATCAAGGGAAAAGGACAGCAGGGTGAATTTCCACCCTGTCTGATTTCTCATGTGCTGTTCAACAGGTGATCCTGCAGCAGCACTTCGGCTGTCAAACCAGCTGATAGCCCTGGGAGCTGACGTGAGTCTTCGCAGCCGCTGGACCAACATGAACGCGCTCCATTATGCAGCCTACTTCGATGTGCCCGAGCTCATTCGGATCCTGCTTAAGGCAGCCAAGCCTAAAGGTACACTACAGAAAAGGGGCGCCTCTCATCTCAGCCAATGCATTGCAATCAGAGTAATGTAATGAATCATAAACAATCAGACGTAATAATATCAATATAGTTTATATACAGATCCGCAACTAACGAGAGCATTTATGGGCAAAATCTGTGTTTAGCTGATCCAGCTGACTGCTGTTCACATTACAGCTACAGACCAAAACTAATGTGCTGTTACATAACTTGCTTGTATGACGGAGCATAACATGACTATTTTTCTTTTAAAAAGCCTTACTTTGTGTGCTTTGTAATGCTGTAGGAATAATGTTCTTAAAGTCACTGACTTGAAATGCTACATGAAAGCTCAAGTGTGTCTTCACCTATACGCAGTGTATCTCCAGTGTTGGGTTCCTGTGATATCTTTCCCCTGAAACTGGATTTGACAGAGGAAATCTAAAGAAAAATACCTCATGTATTTATTGAATGCAGAATTGCTGGGGAACAAAAGACTTCAAAACAAGTTCAGGTTCCAAGCAGCAGCAGAAGAAGATCCACTTATGGTTTGTGCTTCACAGGAAGCTGAGGTTGAAAACAAAGGTAAATGACTGTCATTCCACACTCAGGATTTCTAGTCATGTTTAAAATCGTGAACAAATTCATCTGCACTATAAAAACAAAGACAGTACTTCTGTCGCAACAGATACAGAGATATAAGATGGCAAGGCAGGGAGTTCATTATGACACCAATAATTCTGTGTGCTCTAATCACTTTAACGATCAGTCTTGCCTCAAACATGCATCTTCCAAATGGACTTTGTTCCAATGGATGAAACAAATCTGGCAACGTGTTGCAACAAAATTCACGGTTGGGTACTCTTGTTCACAAAATGGGTGAAGTACACCTTGTTAAGATTCTTTTGTGATTCCTTGGCCTCTTAATGAAAGTTCTTTATCATTTATCCCATCCCTTAATAAGAAAAGACACTAGACAACCTCTCCACTGGACCATAGGTTAACTGAGCTCTTCCCATTTTCCATTTTTTATTTTAGATGTAGTGCCGGAGGCTGCAACCAGAGGAAGCTCCAATCTATTGCAGAAACACCCGCCACCCTATGCTCACGGTCAGATGCCCACTTTAAAACATTCAGAACCTCCTCTTTTCCTTCCCCCTAGACAGGCTGCAAAGAACCTGTAGCATTTTGAACTGATAACAGCATGTGCAACACTGTTAAAGAGACACATTCAGGGTTGTGGGGAGTAGGGGAGGTCTACTGGTTAAAGCCTGGAACTTGTTGATTACAATTGACTGAAAACAATTTGCAATACAGAGAACAGGTTCTGTCTGATCATACAGACAACTAAAAAGTTTGAATGTTTTGTGAAACCCAAACAATCGCAATGAGCATTATGAAGTGAGATTACATATGTTACAGCCTGGTAACCCAGGTGCAGCACTGTACCCTGTGTGGTCCCTTCTACTAGTACAGAGTTTAGGACATAGGTTACTCAGACTGTGAGTGCCATTGTGGACTGTGGCACTGTGAACCATTGCTCAGATTGCTTTCATCTCCCTTTCCACATAAAACCAGACTTTCGCTGAGAGTTTATTGTACTGACTCAAAATGTTTTTTTCTAAGACAGTTTTTTTCTAACAGTTTGTACAACAGATTAATCTAATGTAGACCAAACTGAAACAGACATTCAGACAAAAGAGATGCTGCTCTCTTGATTCAACTGCGATGTGAATGGTTACTTCAGACAGGTGTGGGCAGAGATACCTGAAATTCCAGGATATTACATTCTTAATCCCCACGTCGAAAAACGAGCTGCTGAACAGGTTTATAATCAGATTAGTGATGATTAAAGTACTGTTAAAAAGGGACAACAGTACCAAAACCTGTCAAGCAGAGGCTCAAATTATTTTCAGCTTTTTTGAAGTCTTGTGCATGAAACAATATATTCTGAAATGATGTGGTCTTAATCCACTGCATTGTAGCTTCAGGAAATTAATGGGCTTTGGTTTCAGGGTACCAGATCCAGTTACACACATCACTCAACATGCCCTCATCCTGTTGCAGTAGAGAACAAGAAAAACAAGATGTACTGATTTTAAATGATTAAATGTTTTTAGGTCACTTAGATGACTTGATTATTCATGACTGGCCGAGTGAATGTTACATAGACACTAAAACCTCAGTAGTGAGACAGCTGATTGGGCAGGTGATGTGGTGACATAATCTTCTAAATAGCAATCCTGTTGAAAGATTTGTGGCATTAATATGTCCCGCTTAGCAAGAGCACAACACTTTTTTGTCTTTGGCATATTATGTTGCCTCTTCTAGACATGTCCATAATAGTTCTGAAAGTGATAATACAAAGGTCTATATAGTCAACCATGATGGATGTTAGTGACTGTGGTGCACACGTGCAGAATGATACATTAACTGTTTTGTACAAATCACCAATTAACATCCAAGTGTGACTGTCTGGGCAGGATCGTTTAATCACTAATGAAGTTGCATGTATGATTGATGGCAGCCAGCCACAATACACTGAGCTACACTGGGACCTGACTTATTGCCCTTCCAGAAAGCTCACCCTGATGTGACGTCATTCCAGCAGGACGTCCTCCTGCTGCTCATGTAACCATGACCTTCTTGCAAAATGAGAATGTGACTCACCTGTCTTGAGACCTTCTGAATATTTGTGGAATGCTTTGCATCAAGCTTGACCAGCATTCCTTTGAGAGGAATGATTGAAAACACTCACAACACTTACAATCTGGTGCAAAGCGAGATTCACAGATTTACAGCTCACAGTGCTTCCAACACTACTAGCATGTGACATTTTCTTGATAATTAATCAACTGCAATCAGCATGATGAATTTACTTGTTATGCCCATTTAATAAAATATTAGTAGACCTTTTTTGTAATTTGGGAATGTGCTGCAGTTATAGGTGATTTTCTTTTGATGCTCAGTATATTGAATGCATCGTTAAGTGGTTTGGCAGTCAGTGCTGTGAATATGAAAAACGTGAACAGATCCCTTCAGATCCCAGAATGGGTTGAGAGCAAAAGGGATGTAGTGTCAGTACACTGCCACCGCTTCAATACCACGGCTAGGATGACAACCCTGCACTAGACTGGAACCTCATCCCTAAGTAAAGGCTAAGACTGCTGTGCTGAAAAACCCTCCTAAGGACACCAAACTAAGAACACTTCAAGCACGACTGACCTCTCACAGTAATCTTGTGTTCTACAGCTTTCCAAATGAAATGCATTCCTCTTTGTGAAATAATAAGCAGAGATCTGTACCACACATAATTCACTCTGAATCATTTTAAGCCACTGATGGATTGATGTTTGCCTGTATGCCCTATTTCAGCACAGGATGGGGTGCGGCTTTGGAGTTTCAAAAGATTTGGTGCAGGCACACCACTGACCTTAGCTTGAATTGTCTCCACAGTGCTGAACTCCACATGCAGCGATTTCTACCATGGCACAGCACTGCACATTGCAGCTTCAAACCTGTGTCTGGGCGCGGTGAAGTGTCTTCTGGAGCACGGGGCGAACCCCACTGTCAGGGTAAGGCGAGGGCCATCCCCCTGCACTTTCTGGGCTCCCTCGAGGCTGCTGGGATTCACCCTGCAATGTGGGAGGAGAAAGAAAAAAAAACGTTTTTTCACTAATATTGCATCTCCAAGCTGCAAACTCCAAACAGCAAGGATGTCAGATAGATTGGATTGAAATTTATATATCAGCAGCTAATAACACCAGCACTATAAAAAGAAAATGTTCCTTCCATACAGATATAAGCACCCCCAAATCTGGTGTCTAATCCTGGTGCATTGGTGCCAACTCGGTTTTGTGCTCGGAATGTATCACATTATTTTCCGTGCCATGACTGCTAACTTGTAAGTATTTAAGAGGGCTGAACTGTTTATGTCCGCAAGATCAGGGTGTTTTCAAGAGCCATCTCCTTTTCTCTCACTCCTATACAGAACAGCAAGGGCCAGGGCCCTGCGGACGTGGTGCCCGACCCCATGGACATGAGCCTGGACAAGGCAGAAGCAGCCATGGTGGCCAAAGAGCTGAAGCAGCTTCTGCTGGACGCCGTGCCCCTGAGCTGCAACCTGCCCAGGGTCACCCTGCCGAACTATGACAACATCCCTGGGAACCTGATGCTGACTTCCCTGGGGCTGAAGCTGGGGGAACGAGTCATGCTCGATGACACGAAGGTATGGCAAGGGACAAGCTGGGCTAGCCCGGCTATCCTTAAAGCAGCTGACATCTACTGCGCGGAGTGGTGGGACTGTGGCTAAGGATCTGCCCCTCTAGCTGGAAGGTTGCCGGTTCAAATCCCATGGCCGGTAGAGGAATCCTACTCTGTTGGGCCCCTGAGCAAGGCCCTTAACCCAAGCTGCTCCAGGGGTGCTGTACAATGGCTGACCCTGTGCTCTAACCCCAAGCTTCTCTCCCTGTCTGTGTGTCTCATGGAGAGCAAGCTGGGGAATGTGAAAAAACAAATTCCTACTGCAAGAAATTGTATATGGCAAATAAAGTGATCCTATCTATCTTTTCTTTTGACTGTCCTTCGGATGAGATATTAAACCGAGGTTCTGACTGCTAGGTCATTAAAGATGTCAAGGTGCTGTTCAAAAGAGGACAAGAGTTAAACCTGTGCCCTGGCTAAACTCTACTCTGGAGTTTTATAACTTTGCCTCCCTCAAGTACTCTTTTAATTCAGCTGGTAATGAAGTAGTCCCCAACTATATGTGAAGCATTTTCAGGACAGTGTACTTTGAGATGAAAGGAACTATATGTTAATGGAAGGAATGGTATATTTATTCTGCAGTAAGAATTTAAGTGTGAACCTGAATCTACTTTTCACTCTAACAAACTGAGCTCTAATATATGCACCTATTTTTACATGTTTTTGGAAACTTGCATTTAATAAGTTTGTATACAAAGTTACTTATTTTCAAAAACTACAGTATGTCCCCACCTATAAACTTATAGCTTCCCCAAAACCTGTGCAATGATGTCTCTCCTGTTCTGCTGGGAAGGGGGTGGTTTACACTGGGTGTTAGTTTTTTGCGATTAAAACACTTTATGTTAGTGATTCTCATGTTACCTTAGAAAACACCTGGACAGCTCAGACACCTTTTGTCTTTTAAAACACACACTACACAGAAAGTGCCCTTGCAAAGCTGAAAATAACAGATACTGCATACTGAAAGCAAAGTTCAGAGTATATAAATAAACAGAGATTAAGTGGTATTATTGCCAGTTTGGTTAGAGTGCTTAAACTTTCTGTGTTAAGTGAATTCTAGAAACACTGTACTTTTCCCTCTAATTCAAAATAACAAAAATTGTCCTTCACCTTAAATCTTAGTTGAACTGCATGTTTCATCAGCATAAAAAGAGGTGGATAACAGATATAGAAAGTACTGTATGCTTGTGAGTTGAATTTTTAATCATTCCTGTTAGATATCATGTACCACAGTGAAAACCCAGGTGGGTAACTGCGTCAGCATGCGTAGGCTGCAAAGGAACAAGTAATAGGTTTATTCCTGCTGAAAAAAAGAAGAAAGAAAACACAACGTTTCGGCCGTGGAGCTTTTTTCACAGCCGAAACGTTGTGTTTTCTTTCTTCTTTTTTTCAGCATGGAATAAACCTATTACTTGTTCCTATTCTGGTAAAATTCTGGTCCCCTCTGAGCTGAGCTGATCGAGTGAAAAAGATCATGGTTTTTCAAGAATGCCTTTCTTTCATGCCTTCTAAAAGTCAGTTCCTCTTCTAGACTGGCACACTCCGTTTCTGTGGCACAACAGAGTTCGCCAGTGGACAGTGGGTCGGGGTGGAGCTGGACGAGCCGGAGGGCAAGAATGACGGGAGTGTGGGTGGCGTGCGCTACTTCATATGTCCCCCAAAACTAGGTACTCCTCTTCCTCTCCTGTCTCCTTTCATTGCATTCAGGATCAGGACCTTTATGAGTGTAGAATAAGAGACACAGACAAGTTGGAAGTTTAAATGTACTGTTAAAGACAAATTCTGCACAGAATCTCTTTGGGGTGAAGTCAATGACAGGTCTTCAGAATCCTCAAACCTCCTTTGAGTCCCTTGCATCTGAAAAAGCGCTGGCAATGCTGCTTTGGATATTTCATCCGCCAAAAATAGACATGTTGATTTGTGATACTTGCAGAAATGTGTGTACATTGGTACATGCACATACAAAAGCAGGGTGTGCTTCCCCTCTTGTTCTTTCTTCTTTTTCAGAGGGAAAGGACTCTGTAGTTGGGCTAATTATATTGGGCTCCTTTATTCAGTTTTTTTTACATGCATGTATTTGTGTTACCTTCTTACTATCCAGGTATTTTTGCACCAGTATCAAAAATCACCAAAGCCCTGGATCAGACCCCCTCGTCAGTCACCTCCACCCCAAAAACTCCCCGCATGGACTTCTCACGAGTTACCAACAAGAACAAGAAGGAGAAGAAGGAGAAAGACAGAGAGAAAGGTGCGTGTGAAAAATCACAGGGTGTCGGGAGACACCATTTCCTGGACGAACTAAGTGCACTTCCTGATGTTACTGTACTTGTCAAGTGCCACCCCTGGCTCCAGCCCTTGTGAAATAAAAGGTGTTTGGAAACTGTGATAAAATCCCCAGTTTGACACCTGCAGTGTACAAGAGGCCAGGAACAATGTAGACAGATCCAGTAATTCTTCTTTGCTAGATCTTTTTAGCAGCAGTTGCTTGTTTACTGAAGGCAGAAAAATGCTGACTTTAAAAGCAGCACATGTTCAGTTTGTTGTTGTGCCGCATTGTCTTTTCAGCTCTGCGAAAGAAATCTCTGTCAGTGGGGAGTTTGGACCCCGATGGTGTGAAGATCGAACTCGGCGATCAGGTCCTAGTGGCTGGACAGAAACAGGGGATCATTCGCTTCTACGGAAAGACAGACTTTGCTCCAGGTACAGCACATTTCTTTATTCTCAATCCATCCACTTGAAAGCTCCCAGGACTTGAAATATATCCAACCTCCACAGTCTGCACACTCCAGGCACATGTTCAGATTCGAGGGTGTATTTAAGCACTGGGTTAGGGTTATTTAAAAGGTTAGAGCACTCTGCTGCAGGTGGAAAAAGGTCTCCTATTCATTCAGAAACACTGTGTCCTGCTAGAACCAGTGTAGTGATTCACCCCCGACTCCTGGAGATGTTATGTAAACCCACGTCTTTCATGTACACAGGCGTCTGAGGAACCATCCGAGTCTTATATGACACTTAGGGCCCCAGGGGTACCGTGGGTAGACAACGTCAGATTTTCTCTCTGGCAACCTCATTTCCGCCTGCTGTGCAGCTTGTCATCCCCATTACATGCCTGCATGGAGCCTGCTTATGTAAGACAACAGTGCTCTGGTCAGGAAGGATGCCAGGCTCGCCCTTAAGGAGTTAAGGGCAATTAAGGCGGCTTCTGCTAGCCATGGTTGAATTCCCCTTGTGCTTCAAAGTAATATTCATATTATTTTAATCAAATAAGTCAGTTGAGAACAATTTGACCTGGCTCAGTATTAAACAGAAGTCAGAGCAATGGTAGAAAGAAAAGACAAAAGAACAAATTCTAAGTAACATACCTAACATACCAGGGCAGTGTTAACAAGTGCAGATGCCGAAAGAAAAGATTTAATCTTAATTAAGAAGAGGCTCAGAACTCATTTCTGTTGCCTTTTCTTCCAAGAGAGAGACAAGATCTACAACAGTTACTAGAGTTACTACAACACAGGGTGTTGAGTCAGGTGCTCTCAATTCTTAATTCATCCAAGGATCACAGTTTTCTTTGGAAAGGAGGGTAGGGACCCACAATTTGACTTAGTAATTCAGTCCTCCACTTTCTCTAGATCCGTTCCCCCATTGCCCTTGTGGTTATCTATTTTATTTATTTATCCTGTATTGTTCTTATTTTAATCACAACTTTCTTATTTTTTCTTCTTCAAGCATAAATTGACATTTATGTTGCTTTACTGTATTACTGTGGATTCCTTTACAACTGAGAGTATAAATCTTAATTTTACATAAGATTTTATTTTTACACTTGGTTTGTAAAGCACTTTGAGCAGCTATTTGTATGAAACGTGCTCTATAAATAAAGGTTATTATTATTACTTTATTATTTCTGGAAAGCTCTTGTCCACACTGTCGCAGATCAGTGCCCTTACCCCTTTCCCTGTTCACCCAGGTTACTGGTTTGGTGTGGAGCTGGACAAGCCTACAGGAAAACACGATGGGTCTGTGTTTGGGGTGCGATATTTCAACTGCCTGCCGAAGCATGGCGTCTTTGCCCCCCCTTCCCGTGTGCAGAGGTAAAGGGTAACAAAGTGCTCTTCCACGCTGCCGACTGAAAGCTGGTGCAGTTCTTTCTGCACCCAATTATTTCTCTCCTGCAGTCCTCCTGCAGACTCCTGTGCAATCCAGTGTGCATTAGCGCCACCTTCCTTTTGAATTGGTATTTAAAAGTTAAAAATAACCCCTTACTTAAAAATAAAGATTCAGTAAATTTACTAATATGTATTCTAAGCTAACAAGGTTACATTTCAGGTACTTTTGCAGTGTTTCAAATTCTCTTGATTAAAATGCTTTTAGTTCACGTTGTGTTCTAGGAGTTCTTAATTCTTGTGACTCGAGTAGAAAATAATTTCAAGGCTATGATGATGAATTCCTTAAACAAATAAAGTGCTTTTTATCCTGATGTATACCAAAGCATTTTAGATATTCAAAGTAAAGAGGAGAAGTATTTTATGATTTTAATTAAGATGGAGCTTTATGTGGGTTGGATTGTATAAGTATGGTGTAATTAAATTAGGACTCAATGGTTAACTGGTTTTAACACTAGAATAAACCTGTCCATGGGGAAGTGTGCCACCTACTTGTCCATCAACACCAATTACAGCAGCACCCTTGTTTTCCTTAGAGGGCTCTTTGCTTACCACCATAAGTGAGAGGTCACAGCCAACACATACAGTACTGACACGCTTCACTCACTGTTGTATTACATAAAACACAGCATCTGCTTATTCAGTATGTCAGAGGAGACAATACAACCTGAACACGTTGCTAAGATGTAATAAGAGGAGGAATGAAACTGTGCTGAAATTGCTTTATGCTGCTTTTAATGTTTTAGGATTGGTGGGCCCAAAGACTCACAGAGCGACAGTACACTTGTGAAGAAGGTGCACCAGGTCACTAGTAAGTATGCCAATGAGCAACATGGCAGCTCTCTTGCAAGTGTTAAAAAAAAAAGCTGCAAAGTGATTTTCACAACATGAATCTCCTTTATCTGCACTAAACTATTAACAGTTGTTTTGTGCTTTCCGTCTGATTTGTAATACTTGACTACAATGTTACAATGTATCATTGTAGTTTTAAGAAGGAAAAAAGATAAAAAACAAAATTAGGAAGGACTCTCTGACTGAGCTATAGGTTTCCTCACAGAAAAGTATTAAATTAACTTTGTAGATTTACCAGAGTAAAAATTAATAAGCACACTTCTCTATGGCCACCTCTCATGCCACACAAATCAGACAACCAGCACCTGATTCCAGTATGGGCGCCCTTACCCAACACTTACACACCTTCTCAGAATGCAGTGCAACTTTCTATGGAGCAAATATGAGAGTCACTGAGAAGGGGCAGAATGTCCTTTGGTGCTGGTAAGAAATGTGTCTGCCTTACATACACAACAAAAACAGTCCTGACTTGTTCCAAGCAGCTCTTTAATTTGAAAGGCCCTGCAACATGACGTGAGCCGAACCACTTGCTGATGTTTTAGCTTTTTAAGTTTCCCTGCCTTAGACACAAATTTAAGAAAAGGATTGTTTTGGCAGAATATTTCCTATAAACGACAAGAACAAGCTCCTGCAATCATATTTCCTTGTTCAGAGGCAGGGCTTGGTGATGGCAGGGAGCTCTTTGGAAAGGAAAGTTTCAGGTTTTCTGTTTTATGAAAACTCCATATATTTTTGAGTTCCTTCTTTTCCCATTTTTGCTTGTATTCTTTCCAAAATTGTTCTTCTCTTCCTGTTTATTCCAGTGTCCCAGCCCAAACGTAACTTTGCCGCAGTGAGGACACCCAAGGACATCACTTCAGAGAGCTCTATATCCAGGTATTGTTTGTAGGAATGTGATTCCACCGTTTTGAAGGTTTCAGCTTGTTTTCTACAGTTATAAGAAGGACTCAACTTTCCTAGTCATTCTCCAGCTGTTCATTATGAAGTGATCTGTTTCAGTGTCTGTTGTACTGCAGTGACAAAAATAGTTCTCATTCTCCCTGGCCATACAACACCTCTTTGTAATATAAGTCTTTCTTCAGAGCTACATAAATTGTGACTTGTATTTGATAACGGTATTTAAAACACTAAGACATGTGTTCAGTGCACTCAACAGCAAAAATGTATTTTCTAATGATTACATGGAAGCTTCAGCAACATCCAGTATCTGTAAAGCAGCTTTGCTGTTCACATTTAAACAAAAGCAAGACGCAAATACAGGAAATGGAGTTCTGAATGCAGCCATAGTGCCTGTCTTTGCAGCAGGAGAGACCAGACTGCAATGCCGGTGCTGATCTCTTCTCTCTTCTGCTGCCTTTTCCAGACTGCTGTTCTGTTGCTGGTTTCCCTGGATGCTCCGTGCGGAGATGCAGTCCTAACTGCTTGCTGTCCTCACATCCATAGGTCAACTGCTCTCTTCCTCTCAGCACCTCTTTCATTTCCGCTTTTCTCTGAGAAACCAACCAGACTGCTGCCATAATTACTACAGTAGAGAAGAAAATACCCATGGTCGCAGTCCTATAGCAAACCTAGTGCCTTGTACCTTAACTAACGTCCCGCATCCCGTTTGTTACACTAACAAAAAAGACAAAAAACTCTATACCTGTATATGATGTTTTAGTTTTATAAGTTACCTGTTCTTGACATTTCCTCTCCAGTGTTGTCTCTTAAAGTCCTTGATTGCATAACAATTTGCCAAATTAATTTATGATGTTGAAAAGCAAGCAGGACCCCAAAAAGTCTTACTCGAGGCCATGTTGGGAGTACCAGGGTCTTACTGTCCCCATCATGTGCTGCTATATTTTTTTTTTTTGCTGCTAACTCTATTTCACCTGTGTTTATAATTTTATTCAGTTATTCCACTTTCGCATGTACAGTACGTGTTAGAGAAATGTATGGTGTAAAATTATCATTTAATATTTAGGCTACATTCATGCTTTATTAGTATTTATTTCTTTTTATGCATGTCCAAACACGGGGTGATACCCCACTAACAATAATCAATACAAATTCTGTTATTAGTACAGATATTAGCACAGGCTGAAAAAAATGTGTATGCAACATCTCCATTTAGCACCTGTTAGCCCAGGTTAGCAGACTGTGAGAGGGGAAGTCCCCTGGTGGGAGTTCTGTGCACCATCTCCCTTCTTCCTAGCTGGGTGGTCTTCTCTCGGGTCTTAAGCCAAAAGTGTTATACACATGAGTCGGGGGAATGGGATAGTCCCTGTGCCGTTTCAATCTGAGTGAATGTGGCAGCTACCATGACTGTATTGGCAAACCGATTAACTTAGCAAAGGAGACGTCCATTTCCCAAAATCAAACATATACTGTATGTAACTGTCTCCTTGGAGACCAACCTGGACCACTGCCTAATTTGCAAAGCAAGAATGCCTTGGAGATGGAGGCCCGTCACTCCAGGGCCCCAGACAACTATCTTACTGCATGAGATCAGAAGCCGCCTTACTGCGCAAACAGAGCTACATTTCGTTCAGAACAATATGATCTAGAGTACAGAAAGGCATTAGAGTGAAAATCAGACAGTCAGTTGCTAGAAACGTAGCCTGTAGCCAGACCTAACGCTAGGCCACACTAGGCTGATAAGAGGGAGGACTGAGAAATTACTTTGTGGACTGAGTTAAGATAGAAATTCTGAGGGGCCAGACTGTACAAATCCAGAGTGGAATTTATTTAGCCCTAGTCTTATGAACAGTGCTAGGAGATCTTTCATGACCGAGTAGTCAGTGCCTTGGTTTAAGGTTGTATTCAAAGAGCAGTACCTCCTACAGCACAGTGTTCCCCGTCATCAATCTAGGCCATTTGTCCAGTGGAAGAGCACCACCTACTGGTCCACCCCAACACCACTCACGGCTGGAATTGTAGTTGTATATATAGAAATTTCAGCCAACCTCAGTTCATCTTCCTGTATCATGCTTACATATTTTGTCCATATATGGCCATACAAATGCCACAAAAGCCAAAAAAAAAATCAGACAATGAACATAACTTAAAAACATCAAATGTTTCATCACCAAGGGTTTGCCTGATAGCTCTTCCTTGGTTCTAACCACAGATCACACTTAATGGACTTCAGTTTCAAAAAGCTGAAAACAAAAACATCTTAAAGACACCTTACTTACAGAATCTAGTGGGCACATGATTATGGAAAATTACTAATTTACAAAACAAGTCAAACTGCTTTCAAGCACGTTAAGGCACAGGAGTCGCAGTGGAGCTCAGGGCGAGGGCAGCAGGTTGGAAACGTGAGAGTTTCCTTCCAGTTTCCAAACACAACCATAATATTACACGAATACACGTCACTGAAAAACTGCACAGCGCTTTTCACCATAATACAAAGTCGATTACTACTAAAAATAGCTACCGTTAAAAAGAAAAAAAAACACATGAAATTGAATCGGACTTGATTTGAAAGTTTGTTTGTGTTTGTTTTTGCTTTCCTTCATAACGAGAAGATACAGATATACTTTCTTTTCACCTGAGCGGACGTTAGTCAACGGTAAGAATAGTACCGCTGAAGTAACATCTACTTTCACCGCCCAAGTGTTTTTTTTTTTTTGCGTGTCTCAGTAAACAGACTTCGCAGACTTGAAGTAACACACGCCTGAAATTTAGGAAACTTAACACTTCAGAACAAAATGTCGTGTCTTACCGCAATATTGTTAACTGCTACAGGATACACGGAGGCTGGCGGCGCTGCTCTCCCGCAACGGCTAAACTGACAGCTTCGCGTAACACAGCCAAAACACAGAAACAGACATCTCAACCCTCTGAAACCGCTTTTCTTCACACTACCTGATAGGAGACTTTACGTTACTTCTTCTCCGATAAAAGTGTTAAAATCGATCAACGTCCAGCCGTTAAATTCCGTTTTTTCTCTCTCTCTCTCGCGCGACCAGACCCTGCCCCGCCTTCACACACGTGCGTGGATTTTGCCTCGCGGAGTAGCCAAATCCCCCTCGTGCCAAACGTCTGCCGGTTGACGTCACTCGGCCCCGCCCTCACAGCTCAGCCAATGATGATTGACGATTCCGTCACCGAAGTCCCACCACTTGTCGCGAGAACTAAAGTCGAGACGAGTAAACTAACGAGACAGTGAACGACCTGCTGCGCAGCTTGCTTATCATGCCGCAGTGATGGGCGTTTGTGACTGTAGGAGAAAACAATATTGTTAACAAAACTATTAACATTTTTCAGTCCACTACCTTCAAAAGACCAGTGAACACGTTTTAGCCACGTTTCATGTTGTTTAATATGCGGAGAGGATAAACCCGCTAGTTGCAGCTAAGTGTGCGTCTCGCCGCGCTACCCCGCCGTGTTAATTTTGCTGCCTGTGACCTACGGTTTCGTTACCCCGCTCGGAAGCCCCTGTAAATCATAAAACGAGCGCTTTGCGGGCTGCCGTTTTCAATCCTTGCATTTCACTGCAGTAGAATCGAACGGAAATAAGTGAACGGACGTTCATGTAAATAGATCATTTTTCTCTGCACTTCAAGTGGTTTGTCTTTCGGTTGTTCGTATCCTAACTGCAGACAGCTTAGACTGCGCCGGAACTGACGATACAAACATGTAACACAAACTGTCGATGCTTCTCCGTGTATGTAGTGGAACACTCTCCTTGCGTTATACAGCGACGACTGTAAGTCTTGTTCTGTTGAGGAGATAGAATAGACCTGTCTTTGTGCTCTGAAAGTGACTTCCGTTACCATAAACCACCGTAACGTGTGCGGTATCTGACTACCGTTTGCTTAGTCGGTTATACGGACTTGAACTTTTATTTTCTTTAGTGAAATGTTTTAGCTGTTTCACAAAGTGTACTTTTTATGTTATTTTATTATCTCCAAGGAGATGGCAGACTTCCATGTTTGTTTTCTCATTCTCAGCTCTCACTGTTAAATAGACAGATTGTGGGGATTGTACAACCAATACTGATGTCTTTGACTTTATTAAGGAATTGTAAACTGTTGCATGCTCTTTCAGCTTTTTTTTTAAAGATTGTTTTATTTTTATTTTAAAAGTTGTATTTTAGCATGGAGATATTCATTAATACTAATACCACTACTATGACAAATAAAAATAATTTGATGTGTTTTATAAGTCCACCTGTCCTCAACTCATTTTCTCTTCCTTGTTTTGGCCTCACAGGAATATGGAAATAGCTTAAGGATACCACATTCGGAATACTTTTGCTTAGTTCTGAAAGATATGTGCAGTGCAACAATCAAATTGATCTGCATATGCATGTGAAATACTACCAAGGCCATCATTTTGTAAATATGAATGAAGAGATTGGACAACAGAGCCTGCTATTGCTCAATATACACTCTGCATTAGCACAGATACAGTGTTTACCTTCAATACACTATTGGGACTCAATTGAGGCAGGGGCCGGATGTCTTCTGCTTTTTATTCTGACATGAGTAGCCAATTAAACAATTAAACCCAATTATTTTCCTACACAGACAGATATAGGATTTTACTGTTGGTTACTCAAGCCTTTCGCTTTGTTAAAAGCACAGCGAGCTGGGAGGCTATTGGGAACCTGGTTAGAGGAACTGCAGCTCTGTGGTTAACTGTCTGGACAGACCCACTGTGCAACGGAGAGCTCAGGTAGACCAAAAACACCAACTCCAGGAGCTCCAGGAGCTGATCCAGCGGGGGACTGGAGACCTAGTTCTTCTTCAAAGACCACCTGTTCAAAGCACAGCTGGGGCACTTACAGTAGGTCTTGGTATAAAGAAAATAACTTTAATACAACAACACATTTATGGTATGCACTTTTTTTTTTAAAAATGCTTTTACACCTTTGGAAAACACAGTACACAACAACCACAATGGCCACGTGAGAGAAAGAATAAATACACAGTTATTTTATGCTCAGAAATCATGCTCAGCATTAGATACAAAAATTCAAGTGGACGGTTCTGAAGGTAAGTGGACTGGCAGGCGCAGCACAAAAACTGCTTTCTGTTCTTATTTTGAAAAAAAAAATGTTTAAAATCCTTGTAAGAGTCAGAACATTACCCTTGCACAATGAAAGAAGCCAGAACAAGCCAGAATATACCAATTTCTTAAATGTTCGTAGTACAATAGTACTCCCA